AATTTGTAATAAAATTAAATCGTTTCTTCAATTTTAAGCTATGGGAACTAATAGGTTAAAAATCACATTTGGTGTCTATATTTTCACTAAAGTAATGATCTAGTTCATGAACTTTAGTTTATATCGATTTAGTCCTTCTACTTTCAAATTAGTAACAATCTAGTCCTTAAATTTTAGTATATAACAGTTTAGTTACAAAGACTAAACTATTATATGATTTTTAGTGTTTGTAATTTACAAACACATTTGGTCCTCAAAGGTAAAGTGTCCTTTGTCTGTTAAAATCTTTACGAGAATGAATTGCACATGTGGTTGAGAATTGCTTGGAATAATAGTGACTTTTTCAAGTTCTAGGGGTTACCCTCTTCTTTTTTGTCAATTGAGCCGCTTTCCCTCATTCCACTCGTCCAACCCTCCTCATGAGCTTGAACAATCGAAGTCACAAAAATAGCCAACTCGATTATCAAGAAAATAAGGAAACGGGCGCCAATTTGACACAAGATATCCAGAGGTGTACAAAATCGTTACCTACTAAAATTTATGGACTAAATTGTTATCAATTTAAAGTACAATGACTAAATTGTTACACATTAAAGTTCAGGAATTAAAGTGTTGTTTCAACGAAACTTCGGTAACTAAAAGTATTTTTTAATCTAATAAATATAAAGGGATACAAACAAAATTTTGTGTGCACATGTAACCTCACTCTAACATTTTTTTTTATTTAAAAATAAAGTTGTTAATCCTTTAGAAATCACAAATATGTGAATAATGATTTATAATATGCACAGGAAGACTAATTTCTACAAGTAGTTGAATAACAATTTCTAAAATTAGTTTAGAAACAACTCTTTTTCGACTACCCAACCATTTCTTAAATGGCAATTCAAGTTTCCCATATACTATTTATTTAGCTTAATCATTCCTTTGTTTGTGTTCTAATTTTTTAGTTACTTAAAATTAACTAAAAAGTTACTGACGTGGCAATGACATTTTGTAGTATCACAAAGATATTGTTATCAATGGTAGCATATATTAGTGTTACAAGTCCGATCATTTGTGTTAAAAGGTCGTGAGTTCGAATTTTCACCCCCACATATTATACTAAAAAAAATACGAAATTTTGTGTTTATATTTAGACTAATGTCATTAACATCTTGAATGAAATGTTAGCGTATATTTAGTGTTATGTGGTGATAGATGATTGACAAACACAAAATGGATTACTACGATCCATCAACTTGTGCTTTTCTGGCTTATCCAGTTGTCGTAATTGTATCTACCATGTATTTTAAACTAAATTAGCTAACATTTATCTAATAAATATATCTACAGTTATAGAGAGATAAAACGAGATCCAGCTAGGCGATAGAAGAAAAAACGAGATCCAACTAGGCGACAGAAGAATGAAGGAGAACCAAGAGAAGATGTGAACCAGGAAAGGGAGTCGGCGCTCGGCGACCCGAGCCAACGCTCGGCCCCTTGGCCGAGAACTCTAATGGTCCAATCCCACCGCAGTATATTTCGACCCGAACCATCGCGCCTCGGCTCTTGATCCGACGACAGGCCCATAATGAAACGGACCGACCCGGATATCTAAATTTCATAGATGTATCAGTATTCGACTTCTATAATTCCTATTATTAGGATTCAACTTCTATAAATAGGAAGGTAAACCAAATCCTAAAGGTACGTCGAACTATCCTACTCTTCATATTCGACTACTCCCAGTCTAACTTAAGTATCGAAGCTTGTGTGTCAAGAGTCACAACGGTCTTCTGTGCTCTTCTATTTTGCAGGTCTCATCAATCCCTATTATTATAAAAGATTGACGCGAATTTGGTGGGATTTCATAAAGCTAAATTTCTGCATCAACATATCCATCAGTATTCAAATAATTAACAATGTTGACAACAATAATTATATGGAAACAATTTTTAAAATTTTAGGATCTAATTAAAATTTTTTAATTTTGAGAACTAAATAGATAAAGTGACATAATATTCTAAGTCTAAGACTAAGTCTATAATTTAATCTTACTATTTTTAATAGTATATAGTACAATGGTATACATTTATTAGGAAGACGGTTGGGCATTGTATGTAGTTTGTTATTTCAACCAACATAAATCAATATCATTTATATGATGTGCCACAGCAACACGAAGATGTATAGGATAAGTCAAAACTGAAAATAATTCAATTGATTAAAATATATATTTCGATAGGTTGGATTTCCAACTCATGTATTAAAAAAAATATACATTTTATTATTTTATTTTATTAATATTTCTCTTTTGTTTGTAATTCAACATTAAAAACGTTTTTGAAAATTTATCCTAAATTTGAAAACTAAAAAAAGGGTGCTTTTTAAAAGTTGATTAAAATTTCTTTTCAACCTTGGGAAAATATAATTTTGCCCAAGTCATAGTAGCGGTTAAGACCAAATTTCAATGTTAATATCGATAAGAATATCGAGGTCTCAATTTTATGAAAATTTTGATGCAAATATCGATAAAATGTCAATGTCGATGAATATTTTTGAAAATATTACAAAAATGAAAAATTGGTTAAAATTTTTTAAATTAACCAAGGAAAATTCAACATTTCAAAATGAGTTAGAAAATTATTAATATTAATATTATATCTATATATTAGTGATATATATTTTTTATATTTTGTAGATTTTTTTTAATGATAAGAAAATGTCAATTTACCCCTCATATTAATGAGTTTTTTTTATTGGAATAAAATATTGGGTAAAAAATAAAATCTATCCACTTTTTAAATTAAAATTTTCTATACTTTTGATAATGTCATCTTAATGTGATTAAACTCTTCTAGATCATTCTCGGTCTCGCTCTCTTTCTCCTTTCGCTTTCTCGTTCTCCTCCTATCTTTTTTTTAATGCAATTGTTCGTGTGTGTAAATATTTTTAATTAAAATTAGAATATATATAAAATAAAGTGTTATAAACGTTTTTTTTTTCCAAGACTCTTGAATCAAGAGTGTGTTTGATAAATAAATAAATAAGATTGCTCATAAGATGGCTCCTTTTTCCATGATCTATCTTCTCTACTCTTTGAAGTATTGATGTTTCTTTATGACTTTTTTTTTTCTTTTTTCTTTTGAAGTTCCTTTATGACTTTATGTTTTTGTTACTGTTGATTGTTAGAGGAGGAGTCTCATTTACATGTAGCTTATGTGACAATTCATAAAAAAAAAAAGGCTTATGTGACGATTCGATTACTTTAATGAAGTTAATTTATTAATTAGAAAAACGTATTTAAGTAATATGTTATAATTTGTAATCGATTCGAGCTTCCTTACGACAATTATTACCTTTTCGTAAGTTGAAGATTCAATCTCAATCCTCACATATTTTTTACTTGAAAAAAGAATAGCACTTCTAAAAAAAATAAATAGAGCTTTGAACTCAAAAAAGAAATCATTAAATAATTTAATTTTAAAAATAAAGTTAATTATTTGAAACGAACAAATGTTGGAATTCAAAATATATTTGAATTTTTTAAATGATTAAAGGATAACAAACATGTAAGAGGCCAAAACGAGTATAGCTCAGCGATAATTGACATATACCTTAAACCAATAGGTCTCGAGTAACACAAATTTTATTAGTTTTGATCATGATTTTAATGTTGATAAAAATGTCAAGTTCTCAATTTCATGGAAATATCGATGATGAATATTTTTTTATAAAAGTTAGATAAATTAAAAATTTATAAAAAATATTTAAATTAACAAATAAATAATTTTCTATTTTTAAATAAGTTAAAAGTGATTAATATTAATATTATGTAAATATTAGTGATATTTTGATTTTTTTTTTTGGTAATAGGATAGAAATGTCGATCTACCATGTCGAATCTATAAATACATGAAAATATCGATAGACATATCGACAATACCATAATTTTCATCTGTTTCAGTTCCGTGGATTATTTATTAGTTTGATTGGATTGGATTTTCTTTTAAAAGAAGTCACAACATGGATTTTTTATTTTCTTAAATTGATAGATCGATTTTGGAAAAATATCCAATACCCGACCCAATCCACCCACACTTTTTTCTATTCATACACCCCTAATTTATACATTTGTTGTAAGACTTATTTTTCAAAGGAAAAAAAATCTTGACAGGGTAAGATTTAATTGTTTATAAAAATTTGTGACGTGGATTCTGTAAAATTGTAGGAGATTCAAAATGGGTAAATTTGCAAAACCCATATTACAATTTTTTTTTTATTAAAATACCATTTTAGTCCCTTTACGATCAACTTTAGTTCTCATTCTAGTTTGGCGGTAAAATGTTAATATTGATATATATTTATGTAAAAGTTAGAAAAATTAAAACATTGTAAAAATATTTAAATTAACAAATAAACATTTTTTTAATTTTTAAATTAGTTATAAATAATTCATATTAATATTATGTATATATTAGTGGTATTTTGTTAATATTTTTCATATTTTGTCGATTTTCTTGTACTATAATGGAAATGTCGATTCATCCTTGATGTCAAACCACGTACTTTTTTTTCTTCTAATTTTATATAAAATATTGGAATTGATTCATTGAATAGTGAAAATGACAATTTCGTAAATACGACAAAGAAGGGATGGCGATTGTTTATGGTATTGGTATACCCGTAGAGCAACCGGCAATTCCCGGTGACTTTCCGATCACCGACAGCTCCTTCCCGTCCATCAAAAAAAAAAAAAAAAACTTACTGATTACTCATCAGAGCACAACAATGGCTGCCATTTTAAAAACCTTCCATTCTTCTTCTCTCATCATCATCACTCCCTGCCACATGCTTCTCTGGGCCTGAAGTTGAAGCTTCCGATTCCCGCGTGCTGCTCTTCATGAACAATCCCGAGGCTCTTGTTTCTTCTTCGTTTAATCTCGGAACCTGCGCTTCTGGTCAGTTTCTTTGTTTTCCGTTTTTTGTTTTTGTTTTTAGTATTGGCATTTCTCTGCACCTGCTTTGCTTTTTCTGCTGCTTCCGTGAATGCTACTGACGGTAGTGGTTTGGCCTTTTCTTTTTGGAGGTTAATGTCTTCTTCTTGCTAGATCTCTTGAGCTTCTTTCGCAGCTTTGCTATTTGCATTTTGTTTTGGATGTGGCTCGAGTTCGCTTTTGGAGTGGGGATGGTTTTTGAACTTTTCGGTTGTGTTTCTCGGAATCGAGAGCGTTTCTGTGATGCATTGTGTGATGGTTTTTTGTCAAAAATTTGGAAATCTCTCCTTCGCTGCTGTTTTGTTGCTTGTTAGATCATCGTTGTTGAGTTGCATAGGAGCTTCAGAGCTACAGAGTATGGGATTTCTTTTGTAATTGCTGTTACTCTGAGTCTCCTACCTTTTTGGATTTGAATTGAAGTTTTATTGCCGTAAATCCTGAATTCGAGTCGGCGTCTGCCATTTCTGACTTTGAGATTTCGCCGGATTAAGTACACGACGAAGGGCAACTGCTGATCTATTGAGTTGATTTCATTCGGAAACTCTGTTTGGTCACAAATTCCCATTGTGATTCACTTCGATCTATTTTGCCTTTTATCCATTTCGCAGATTCATAAATCTATTGGCGACTTTGGTAATTATTTGACTTCTCAAGGAAGGAGTAAAGAATAATAATATCTTTTTTGTGTCACCCACATACATAGAGATTTCCTCTCTACAGTTTCATAAGAGGTTTTTATTTTTTACTTTTTCCTTTTTAATTTTTTTTATAAGTGCTTATCGAACTGACTTGTTTTGGTGAACAATAGTTCAATTTAGATGCTTCTCTCGTATTGCTAAAATTTGGATTCACTTAGTATTTGGCTATCCCAGTGGTTAATTTATTATTCTTTCTCAATAATTTTTTTTTTAATTGCAGGTTTTTAAGTTAGTATGATTCTGAGAGTTGCACTGGTGCCATAAGTTACCTGTAAACTGTGAGGATTTAGCTTCTGAAGGGTTGTTGGAATTGATTTGATAACTTCACAGTGATCCCAATTGATAACCTTCCTCTTTCTCACTGCTTCATTTGTTTATTGTTGCAAGTTCGAATCTGTTAAAAATGAAGGAGATTGACAAGAGGAAAACACCTATTAAGAACCAGAGTAAACGAACTCCAAGACTGGAGAGGAAAGAACGCAGACCACATCAAGAGAATATTAGCAAACCTGTGGATGCTAAAGAAACCGTATCTAAATCGTTGGATATGAAGCCTAACAACTTAGTAAGCGAGTCAGACAAAGACATGAAACCCTTAGAGGTTCAGCAAGACTTGGCAATAGATCATGTTGCTGAGGCCAACAAGGTTGAGGAGACTCATCTGCATTCTAAAGCTAATGCGATTGGTGGCAGAGAGAATGTGAACGGGGTCGTAGATGACAAATGTAATGTGTTGGAGAAAGATCTAAATCACATGAAGGAAGAAGTTTCAGATTCAGAAACCACGGCAGATTCGATTTCATCAACAAGTGATTCGACGACAACAAAGGAAGAGAAAATAGAAAAAACATCAAATTTTCCTGAAGATATTTTAGAAGATAACAGTTCAGATTGCTCTCTTCACAATTCAATTGAACAATTTGATCGTGGTATAAATAAATCACAGTCCAAGGAATTATCTTGCACTCAAAAGAAAACATCAAATTTGGAAAGAGAGCCTTCCAGAGTTAAAAACAAGAATTCTTCCAAAAGCAATTCTAAAAGTGCAAAAATTGTGCCTAAGCCTTCATCAGATTCTTCTGAAGGAACTGATTACCAGATTGTTGATGAGGTAAAGGATATTGAAGTCTTGGATGAGGCACTAAATGGAGTTTTGAGCATTAGAAATGGTCCTGATACCAATGGTGACCATGATGATCAAGCTGCTTGTGAACAAAAAATTGAAGAATTGGAAAATAGAATTGATAAACTTGAAGAGGAATTGAGAGTTGTTGCGGCTCTTGAAATGTCTCTGTATTCAGTGGTGCCAGAGCATGGGAGCTCTGCACACAAAGTGCATACACCTGCTCGACGCCTATCCAGAATTTACATTCATGCCTGCAAACATTGGTCTCAAGACAAGCGAGCCACAGTTGCAAAGAACATTGTATCAGGGCTAGTTTTAATTGCTAAATCATGTGGGAGTGATGTTCCGAGGTATATTTGCTATTATGTTATCTCAGTTAATTGTTATTAGGTGCCGTGAGTGGTGGAACTTAACAAATAATTTTTTCCTCGGCTCTTGAAGGTTAACCTTCTGGCTATCAAACGCTATTGTGATGAGGGAGATAACAGCTAAAACATTTAGTAGCATGCGTAGCACGAGTCCAATGAAAAATTTTGTTGATTCCAACAACAGTAGCCAGGGAAATGGAGGGAAGCCAACTACTTTTCAATGGAGGAATATTTATGGCAGTAAACAAGTAAATAAATATATCCAGCTTGTAGAGGATTGGCAAGAGACAGGAACATTTATGGCTGCATTAGAAAAAGTTGAATCCTGGATCTTTTCTCGGATGGTTGAGTCTGTTTGGTGGCAGGTATAGTAGACAAGTGTTTTATTTATTTTTTATTTATTTAGTAGACAACTATCTAGTCCAATATCTTGGTAATATTGGACTAGATAGTTAATATGTTAATTTATTTTTCTCTTTCTTAGTGTGGTTGAATGTCTTTTTTACCACCATTTAATACTTTTCTGGATGTTTAACACTCTAAATTTTCAGTCTTTGACACCGAATATGCAACCTCGAGACGCATCCAAAAGTAAAGGCAGAGAACGGTTATTGGGACCTCCCCTAGGCGATCAGCAGCAAGGGAACTTTTCGATTAACCTGTGGAGAAGTACTTTCCAGGATGCTTTTCAACGACTCTGTCCTGTCCGAGCAAGCGGTCATGAGTGTGGTTGTCTTCCTGTGCTTGCAAGAATGGTAAGATTTATTCAATAAAGAAAAGTATGATAACAGTACTTAGCAGTTGGTCCATGCCCATACATTGGAATATGATTCCACTCATAAAATGTATTCCCACCACTAAATCTTGGATATCAATTCATATCCAATCTTGGATCAGGTTATGGAACAGTGTGTTGCCAGGCTAGATGTGGCCATGTTTAATGCTATTCTCCGTGAGTCTGCCCATGAGATTCCAACCGATCCTGTCTCGGATCCTATTGTTGATGCCAAAGTTCTTCCCATACCTGCTGGAGATTTGAGCTTTGGATCTGGCGCACAACTTAAAAATTCTGTATGTACCATACTCACCACATCTTTATGTTCTATCTTCAAGCATTGAGTATTCAACAAATGCTTAATGCTTGCAACTTACATCCGTTAATTATTTGAATTCTTTCTGCCATATGGGTAAAAGCATAACCTCTACACATTTAAAAATGGGGCCTTTAGATATCAATTTTAGCATGGAGATGTTTAATTACTCATCTTCAATAAAGCCAACAACATAATCCATCAGTTTGGACTTTTTTGAGGATGTCCAAAAAATAATCTTGAAATTGGGATAATGATTTGGCTTCATGGAATGGAAGGACAATAAGTTGTGCTTAAAATTGGAAATGTCATAATAACTGGTGCTGCAGATGCTAAAGTGAGGTGGGCTACTCTTGATGCAGGTTGGAAATTGGTCTAGATGGTTAACTGACATGGTTGGTATCGATGCCGATGATTCTTCGATAGATCAACAGGGCAGTGATGACGACATTAGACCAGATGGAGATGGACGACCAAAATCATTTCCTCTTCTTAATTCATTGAGTGATCTCTTGATGCTCCCAAAAGACATGCTTACAGACCGTTCAATCAGACAGGAGGTCTTTTTCAAACCCCAAGTGTCTTACATTAAGTTCATGCACTCTGGAAGTTTGTATGAAAGAATTAATTACTTATTTAACCCTTTCTTTTATGTTCTCTAGGTATGCCCATCGATTGGTCTCTCGCTGATTAAGAGGATACTTTGTAATTTTACTCCAGACGAGTTCTGCCCGGATCCCGTTCAAGGAACTGTCTTGGAGTCCCTTAATGCCGAGGTAAAAACGGACATTTCTGGTTTCTAAACTTGTATGTTAGGAAGTCTCAACCATAGAACTCCCCTAGCTAGCTTTGAACTGTTGGGTTTTGATGTCTTCTGATCATTATCATGAACTTGTCGTCGTGTTTTTGCCTGGACAGAGTATTGTCGAACGGCGATTATCGGGAGGCTTCGGCAGGAACTTCCCATACACAGCTGCTCCAGTTGTTTATATTTCTCCTTCAACATCTGATGTGTCAGAAAAAGTTGCAGAGGCTGGAGGAAAGTCCCACTTGGAAAGGAACATCTCCATGATTCAGAGGAAGGGATATACAAGCGACGAAGAACTAGAGGAACTGGATTGTCCTCTTTCATCCATCGTCGATAAATCGACTTCATCTCCGACGAACAATGCTCATGGAAATGGCCGACATGAAGAGGATACGACGTTAATAACCAACACGAGGTACAAACTCCTTCGAGAAGTATGGTCTCTATGATGAATTCTCAAATTAGTCTTGTATTTATTGCATACGTATATATTGTTTCCTTGTGAAAGTTGAAGTTGAATGAGAAAAATACCAAAATGAAATAGAATTGAGAGGAGGGGGAATAGTAAAGATTCTCATAGAGATTATCAGGTTATCTGAGCCAAATTTTCTTGTATATTGGATTTGAGTATTTGTTCTTATATATAAATCATGAACAAATATACAATCTGCAATTTGTCTCCTCTCCCTATTGTCTACCTAAAACCATATTAGGTCATACTTTTAAATATTATTTTAGTCTCTATGCTTTCGGCTTTCGTTCATTTACTTTTAAAAAGTAACAATTTTGGTTCATTCATATATAATTTATTTGGATCATAATTTTAGCATCACATTCATTCGCCGAATTTTGAAAGGTAGCTATAAATTTGTATTAAAAGCTTAGGATTGCCCATTTCTAATTCCAAGGTTTTAGAGACAATTATCTCACTTGCAAACAAATGTATGATAGGGTTACCCAAATTTGTGTTAAAATTTTACAAATAAAGGTCGAATTGGTCAATTTTTTAAAGTATATGGATCAAAATAGATTTTTTAAAAGTACTAGTACTATAACACCGTGCTTTGTACGTTGTATCTCAATTTTATTTTATCATATATTAATGTTAATTTTACTTTAAAAATGGTTGAGCATCTATCATAGTTTATACTATAATATTTGATAGATATTTTAAAATATAAGTATAATTTAAAATTCAAAAATATAATTCAAACATCTTAAACGTTCAACGACTAAATATTAAAATAAGATTACTAAAAAAAAATTTTAAAAAAAATATATAAACCGTTGCAAACTTAAAATCTTAAGGACGATTTATTTTGAAAAGATGTCGTCGAGGGATGCGATAGGTCAAGATAGCTCTCATCCAATTAATAGTTAATTTGTTTTCTAGGAGATTGATTGCTACTCTTCTCTCTAAAATTAAACCCAAAACTTAAAAAAAAAAAGTAAAATATTTCCAATAACTTGAGTGATTCCCAAATATATTTAGGCCCAATTTCATATCTAAATACTTCATTTTCTCGCAAACAACACAAGTTTGCATTATTTTTATTGTATTTTGCTCTGCCAAAAGAAAGAAAAAAGTTGGTCAAGAACCCATTTCTTACTGAATAAACATACATTAAGATGAACTTTATACTTCTACTTCAGGTTATATTCCAAACATATAATGATATAACAATTGACAATGTAGAAGAAACAAAGATGAAATTTGAATATATAGAATAGAAAAAAAAACGAAGAATGTTATTTGGCTCCAAGCATTGCTTTAGAACTATGTATATATAGTAATAATTTTAGTTGAAAATTAAATGAGAAAAAGAAAAGTTATGTATTTATTTAAGTTTCATTTATTTCTCCCACCCCTCCAAATTCTATTTTTCTCCCTCACATGAACTTTCTCTCTCCTCTACCTCAAAACTCTCTTTCCCACCCCATCAAAATTTAATCTCTCATCAATTTTTTTCTCATTATCTTCGCCTCTCCTATTTTCTCTGGCCATATAAATTCCTCTATTTTTTAACTCTCTCTTAATGCTCTCCCCTCACGGACCACCTTTCATATTCTCCTTAATTGGGTTCCAACCCTTCCAATTATCTCTCTTATTTTTTTCTTTATACATGTATCTCTCTTGGTTGATTACTCAAATAAAAATATTGATAATAAATATATAATAAATTTAAAAATATGATAATATTGTTTTATACTTTGATTTTAAAAAAAATTCTTAAGAATTTGTAAAGCATAACTTTTTATTAATCCAATTAATTGAAGGAGATAATTAGAAGAGTTTTTATTAATTTGAAAAATTTTGTAACATTAGGAATTTTTAGTGTTAATATTAATAAACTAATTAATTAAGAGAGAGACATCACAAGAGAGATAATTGGAAAGGTTTGAATCAATAGGGGAATATGGAAATGTTAACCATGAAGAGAGATTATTGGGAGAGACTAAAAAAAGGAGGAATTTAGATGGGTAGAGAGAGGTGAGAGATAGAGTTAATGAAAAAAAATATTAATGACGAGAGATGAAATTTTGATGAGGTGAGGATAGAGGGGAGGGAGGGTTTCGAGAGAGAAAACTTGGAGTGGTGGGAGAACATATAAATGAAACTATGGATAAATTAGGTATTATATAAATAATCAAGGTTAAAATCGTCCAATAAATGTTTCTTTCACATCCGTACTTTTTAATAGATTATAGATTATAGATATAGATATAGATATAGATATAGATAAGAGCTCAAATAAACAAAAGTTGAAAGCTAAAAGTATTGTGACCACTAATATTTAACCCTAGTTTATATTTCATGGGGAATAATCTCATTTCCAAGACTCGATATGTTGTTAACATGGTATTAAATATTAGTTGATATGTCCATCGACATTTCCATCATATTACAAAAAAATCGATAAAATATAAAAAAAAAATATCAACAAAATGTCACTAATATATACATAATATTAATATTAATCATTTTCAACTTATTTATAAATAGAAAGTATTTATTTGTTAATTTAAATATTTTCTTACGATTTTTTAATTTCTCTAACCTTTAGAGAAATATCCATCAACATCGATATTTTCGTCGATATTTTCATGAAATTGAGACATTGACATTTTCATCGACATCCATATTTGAAACCTTAGACTCCGTTTACTTATCCGCAATCGTAATGAGAATGAATCGGAATGAAAACCAATCGAAATGAGAAATGTTATTTCTTTGATGTTGTTTACCAGAACTTTTCTGGAATTGTAATTAGAATTCATTTGATGTTGTTTACTAAAACTGTCTGGAATCGAAATCGGAATCAGATATATGACAATTACTAGTATACCACTTTTTTCTTTTTAGCTAATTAGAAAAACAGTGCTAATCTTTTTTAATTACAATAATAATAAATTTTAATTTAATTTATTACTATATTATTGATAGTAAATATTTTTTATTATAACTATTTATTTAATATTAATAAATAATATAAAATTACGTTGAATAAAATATTTTTATTTGAACCATCATAATTTAATATAACATATTATTAAATTTTATTATTTTAATATTTAAAAATAATAATTTCTATTTTAAAAAATCATTGATATTAATTAATATAAATTTATAATATTATATAATAAGATGACATTAATTAATAAAAATTGAAGTATAAAAGGAGAACAAATTATAAAAGTATTAAAGAAATTAATTAAAAATGGCATGGGTCTAATTAATAGGCGAGAGAAGAATGATAAAAGTTGTAAATTAATTATAATATATATGTGGGGCCTACACCCATTTACAGAATAAGATTAGGTGGATCCCACCACTATTTGATTCCATCCCTACAATTTGGTAAATATGGAATGAAAGTTTTGTTGCGAGTAAGTAAACAGGGTCTTAGTTCTTTATAATTAAACCCAAAATTTTGATGTTGCTTTTGAAATAAATGAATTTTGTTAATTATAGTTTTGAAATAAATGAATTTTGTTAATCAATAGTTTGGATCTTGCATCGCTAAGATTTGATGGGATTTTTTTTTAATAATGTTAATTTTTAAAATATTTACCAAAATATACCTTATCTCAAACTAATTACAACAATAATGTTTTGAAATTCATAGGTCGTCTCTTGAAAGAGACGACCTATGAGCTGGCATAAGTTGGTCGTCTCTTGACGACCAACAAACGTGGCGCTTACTCAGCGCCACGTTACTTTTTTTTTTAAATTAACCATGGTCGTCTCTTGAAGAGATGACCATGCCTTTTTTTTTTCTTTT